GCCCCCCCCCCCCATTTCACATCAGAGTTCCCCTTTATATTAGGAGCTCCCTTCACATCATAGTCCCACTACCACAAAATGTTAAGGCACCCTGGTTGAGAAAGGCTGCTTCTCCGCTCATCCATTGACCTCCTGCTTTCCAGCTTCCTAGTCCACTCCTCCCATACTCGCCTCCAGGACTTCTCTAGAGTCTCTCCCATCCTCTGGAACTCTTTACCCCAACCTGTCCGTCTATCTCCCACCTTGACTGCCTTTAGGCGTTCCCTAAAGACTCATCTCTTCAAGGAAGCCTATCCCACCTTAACCTAACCACTGAACCATCACATTCTCAAATAATCCATCCCCACACAGCTGCCTCCTCTTGTATCATTTCCCCCTCCTCTGTTAGATTGTAAGCTCTCAGGGGCAGGGCCCTCCTTACCATCTTGTCTTGAATTGTATTGTGATTGTAATGTCTTCCTTATATTGTAAAGCGCTGTGCAAACTGTTGGCACTCTATAAATCCTGTATAATAATAATAATAACTTATCCTTAAAGTACACTCTATTCCCTAATACTAATGTATTACCCAAAAATAGGTGTCAAAATCTCAGTTCCATAAATAGCGCTCTGCTAACACACAGTGGAAGCAACCATATTGAGCAACAAACTAATATTTGTAAGAGTTCTCATCTCAGATGGAATGAATGACCTCACTGAACAGGTGAAGTCAAAGTTCTCGTGGACAAACATTGCCTAAAAAGTTCCACATCAGTGTACCATATGCCAGAACACACATACACATTTTTTTTTTAGTTATATAGACATATTAATTAAGCTTTTAAGATCCTATCAATCACTGAACATACATAAAGTAAGTTACAATAAAACCATGCATTACTTCAAGGTCTAATACAGGACTGGACAAATCCCAGGAGACAGGTAGCCAACACTCCATAAAAATTACAACTTTTGAGGTTTTCTCTAGTTTTTGTCAATGAAGCTGGCTCCTAAAAAAACCCCTGCTGGCTCCTGGATTGGACAGACTCCTGAATTCCATTCCAATTTGACCACTACTTGTCTAACTTGTATCTGTTCTGGTCCTAGGTGCGCTCACACAGATGCCTGCTGTCCGTACATTTGCACTGAACGCTGCTCTTGCTATTCTGTTTGACTTCCTGCTTCAGATCTCCATGTTTGTAGCTCTGGTGTCTCTGGACATGAAACGACAGGAGGTAAAGTCAGGTTCCTGGAGTCGTGGGGTGGGAAGGAGGATATTTCTTCCTGGTCTTCTTTCTATAAACCATCATTCTGTTTCCCTGTAGTCTGACCACAGCACAAAAACAATTCTGATCCATGTTTTCTTGTTCTTCAGGCCTCAAGGTTTGACATCTGTTGCTGTATCAAGAGCAATGGTGAGAAGCCAGAGAAGAAATCTGAGGGGTTGTTGGTGTGGTTCATGAAGAAGGTGTATTGCCCCATCTTACTGAACTCTGTCAGCCGAGTTATAGTGGTGAGTAGATCTTCCCACATGTCCAACCTCAACCGACAAGGAGGAATGGGCTACCTCCAGGCATACCTTCCCTTAATGTATGCACTGCAATATATGCCCCAACATGGAAGCTCTCATAGACTAGAGTTAGGAACCATACATCACAGAGCAGCCTTGACAAGGCAGTGTGACTTCCACATATATTTGCAAATCTTCCTGTTATATTTTCAACTGCACTTGGGTCTATCTATATCATGGGGTGCTGCCTTGTAATGGACACAAACTAATACTTTATGTGATATTATTGGGGGTTGCATTAGGTCACCCACAAGTTTTATGTATTTAAGTAGAACACAAAGATCAGGCAGAACCTATACATGTCAGGGAGTAGAAGTGAGATTGCTAAGAAAATAACTGCAGGCTTCTAGATGGGATTCTTGTTCTAAAGGGAAAACAACTCTGGTGATGTACCTGAAAGGTGCTGGTGTCACCCGCCCCTGCAAAAGTTTCTGCATTCAATATTCAGGTTACACCTGGCTTCCAATGCTTTTCTGAGGACCATAGTGATATCAGTTACACAAGCATCATGAATTTATTGAGTTGTACTCCATCTGGTCCCAAATAAAAATAGGACTGGTGTATTTTAGAGAGCCAGGTGGAATTTTGGTACCAATCACTGAGCAGTTACATAGAATTAGGGAAGGTGATAGGATCAACAATTGGCTGCACACAAAACATATTTTAACAGCAGGCAATAGTTTTGTTTTTGACTTTTTGACTAAGGTGTCTCTTTAATATCTCCTGTCTCCTCAGATGGTGGTGTTCATCTTTATGTTCTGCTGTGGGACTTACTTTATGATGCATTCTCGTGTGGGTCTAAACCAGGAGCTGGCTGTACCTCTGGTACGTATTAAATTTCTACTTTATGTGGCATTTCATCTAAATGTAAATAAGAATAGAACTAGGAGGCCTAAAGGAACCATACATGACTCTGTAGGCACCTCTCGGCTTGACAAACTTGGATTAAAAAAGGAGTTGGGTGGAAAATTGTTGGCCAAACAACTGATTCAGTCACTTTCTGAATACAATAGACATCAGAGGAGATTCCTTCATTCACAAGAGAAATCTGAAAGAGAGAAATCTAAGCGTGTATGGCTAGAACAATTCATGCCTTGACTTCAGGTGGGGTTTATTGGCCATAAATACCTATAAAATTCCAACTGTCACCTGTCTAGTACAGATTGGTAAATGAGCTGACACTTGCTTAGCCCCTCTGCACCCCTTTTGTTCCTTGATAAAGACTTTACTTTAGGACCATAAGTGTTACAAATTAAATCAACCGGACTTATTAGGAAGAGAACTACACCCGCCTATCCTTTACAGCCAGGGAAGGTCCCATCTTGGCCTGTGTTGGGATTGCAGTTGCCATGGTGCTGCACATGTGGTCGGCTATGACATCAGCCATGTGAGGGCTTGACAGTTCGGTTGACAGCTGAAATAAGCACACTGAGGAAAGTGACATTTGGTATGCCTTAAAGGAGAACTATGAGGTGAGTGCTTTTCACTCACCTCATAGTTCTAGACGACCTGTAACAATGAGACTGTCACAGGTTGGCTCAGTAGATCGGGAGGTGAACGAACACATACCGGCGTTCGCTCACTTCTCGATCCTGTCACGGCTCTCTGCCGTGACAGGTGATGGGCTGGATTCCCCCCTCCTCGCTCTGATCCGCCAGCGCTGACTGGCGGAACGGACAGGGAGGGGGCGGGTACAGCTGGCTCTGCCTCTAGATAGGCAGAGCCAGCTGTCAGTCACGCAGCTGGGCGGATCCCGGCATAATTGTCGGGATCCGCTTCAGTTGCGGCGTCTCAGTATACCGCGAGCACTGAGCCTAGGGTGACTGGAGGACGCTAGTTTGTGTCCTCTTGTACCCTAAGGAGAACTATGGGGAAAAGCCTTAACCCCATAGTTCTCCAATAATGTTCCATTCACACCTAGGCGTCTTGCCGCTCAATGGTAAGCCAGACAAAACACTCAAGACAAGGAATCCCATCCATTTCTATGGCCTCTGTTCACATCTGAGCGTTGTGTCGCAAGCAGAAAAAATGCCTGTCGCTGAAAAAGTACATGAGCTATTTTTTTGGACAGATTACAGCGCTTTTTGGTCCCTTAGACCTGAATGGTAAAAACGCATTTCAAACATTTTTGTGTGTTATATTGCGCATTTTGTTGCACAAAGTTTCCCATTGAAGTTTATGGGACCCAAAGTCGCTGTAATCTGCCAAAAGTAGATGTACTTTTTCTGCCACAGATATTTTTCTGCTTGCGACAAAACTCCCAGCTGTGAGCCATAGAAATAAATTGGATTCCTTGTCTTCAGGGTTTTGTTGTGCTTACCTGTGAGTAAAAAATTGCCTAGGGGTGAACAGGGACTTAATGTAACGTATTTGGGAAACAATAAATTTGTGGGTCTAGTTCCTCTTCAAAGCGTACCTATGGGCAAAATAAAAGAATTACATATATAATGCGGTCTGCCACCAGCAATAATACAACGGTCTGCCCCCACCCTTAAACATAGTTTTATTACCTGTTGATCCTGCCATTATTTTTCCATTTTCGATGACAGACCAAGATGTCCATCAAAAGTCACAGTTACTGGGGTTGAGACAAACCATTCATTGACAGGGGTGCTTATAACAGTCAGCTTTTATTCATATGGTTTTTTGTTTTTTTTCCAAAGGAAAGAAAAGCTGTTGCTGTAACTGCTTCAAAATTGTCCGCTAGAGTTTGGCTTTAATTTCTGTGTCTCTTACTTAAGTCTATAAGGACTACCCTGTCCACAGGGTGACAATGCTGCTGTATGGTTTCCGTGCAGAAGGAACAGTGTTGTCACCCTACTTTCTTGTCACCCTAGAAAGTAGAAAAATAATGGATCTTTTGGCAGGATCAACAGGTAATAATACTATGTTACCGGCAGAGGGGTGAGGACAGGGTCTAGGTGGACCAAACCAAAAACTGTTGTGTTAACGCTAGCGACAGACTGCATCTTATATGACACTTGTTTTGCCCATAGTTCCACTTGAGGACAGGAACACCACTTGCTTTACCTTATTATGATTTATACGTAGTCCACTGCAGCCAGATTTCCTCACATGTCCAATGGGTGTCACCTGCCTCCTATTTGGGAAAACTTTTTAGTAGTATACCCATCACCAGCCTTTGATGGGTATTTGGGAATATCTCTTCTGAATTACAGATGGGTGAGCAGAAGGAGTCCCCAGATTACAGACAACGGGGACTAGGTTGGAATAATGCACTACAGCTCTACCTGAAAAACAGAAGATCTGAGCAGGTCGACTGTGTTTTCTGTATTCATCTCAATGGTTCTGTAGCGCTCACCCCCGAAGGAGCCGCTGAATGATCGGGTCTTCCATAGCCTGTCTAGGGATTATTAAAACACATGGCTGCCCCAATAACACTTACCACTTGCCCCTAGAGCACTTACCAGTGGTTACCGACAGATTGAAGTCCAGGCAATAGCTCCAAGATGATTCTCTTTTATTTCTGAAACTCCAGGGAGAGAGGGAAGAGTGTCAGGTGCATCCAACATGAAGGTAGACTCCTTGTACTTGAAATAGAACAAAGTAACTGCTGCCACCACAGACTTGGACCTTTAAGCCGTACCGGCAATCTGTGTAGAGAACTTCTGGCAAGCAGTACTGTCAAGGGTCTTGTTCAGGTTCAACTTCAGACATGAGTGGCTGACCACTGGGCCTCCAGGCTCAGGCCCAAGCATCCAGGCCTAGGCCCCAGGCGCAGGCCTAGTCCATTCTGTCTCTTCAGCAGCAGGCATCCTGCCCCAGCCAGGAGTGCCCTGGGGGAGGGAAGAGACTGTTGCATCAGCCACACTCAGCATTTATCTCCTCTCCCAGGATGCATCACTGCTACTGTCCTACAGTGATTGGCTGGGAGACATAAATGCCCAAAGCAATCCTCATTGGCTGATCTGCCCTGTGTGGTAACACTCCCATCACAGGCAGACACAGCTTCACAGATTGTTCTGTCACAGTTGAACTGAACATAGACTATAGATATATTTTAGCACTCCTTTTAGCAGGGTGTTACAGTTCAATAAAAGAAATGACATCATTTAAAAGAGTAGCTGATACTCATACATGTGAACTCTCTAGAATGGGCTCCAAATTCCAGCCAATCAGTATGATACAGAGCTTCTAACGGCAGATAAGTGAATCTGTTGCCTTGTCCTGCATGGAAAAGCTTGTGTTCACATTAAACGGGTTCTTATTTGTGCATCCTATTATGTGCTAAATGCCCTATTTACCTTTTTCCCCAGGATTCCTATGTGGTGGACTATTTGAATCATCTCAATGAGTATTTCGAAGTTGGAGTGCCGACGTACTTTGTCACAACACCTGGTTATAACTTTTCCAGCCTAGCCGGAATCAATGGCATTTGTTCTAGTGCAGGATGTGACAATAATTCAATGACGCAGAAGATACAGTATGCCACTGACTATCCCACACGGTAAGTGTCCTGAGCAGCTTCAAAATTCAAATGGAACCCATCGAACAGTACCCTTAAGTATCGGGTGGGTGCCAGAGTGACAGCAGATTCCTCTGCAGATCAAAGTAAAGTAAGGAAGGTCACTCGCACTCCAACTTCATTTTTAGTTAATATTCACTGACCTCTGTAGACTCGCAGCATAATACCGATGATTCCGAACCGCATGGCCCTTTCTTCAGGCCTGAAGAAGGAACCATGCGGTTCCGAAACATCGCTATTATGATGTGACACTACAGAGGTTAATGAATATTGACTAAAAATTAAGTTGGAGTGCGAGTGACCTTCCTTTACTTTACACTGCGCATCTTCAATAGTCTGGTAACCATACTGGTGTATACTATGTAGGTCTAATGTTCAGTACTGGCATATGAGATGGCTGGGTTTGTTTTAACAAAATGATAAGAGAATCATTGCAATTTGGCTGTTACAATAACAGCAGCCATAGAAGGAACATATACTGTAACATTGTTGTATTAGGTGCCTGAGATGCCATGCTCTAGATCACATTGAAGTAGATGTAAACCCCAAATGGCTGACCTGTATTTTGCTAAAGCACAGCGTATCATAATTAATTGCCATGTTTTTTTCAAGAAACACTGTTTTCAACCTTTTTTTTTTACATCTTAATGCTGCTGGTCTCTTGCTGTCACTTTAAACCACTTGTCACCATCATATCTTTATGTACTTGCCCCAGCTTTAGTTGCACTGGCATCCTGGAACATGTTGTGGCAAAATGTTTTGGCATGTCCACTCTTAGTCTGCTCCAGAGGAGCAAGTAACAGGGTGGCGATGTAGGAGCAGAACTGGGAGACAGTTGTCAACCCATAACAGGAAGTGCCTAAACATGGACCTTCATGACTTGGTCACCTATTATTCATTTGTTAAAATCTGTTAAAAAAGTAAAAAAAATGTAAACATCTTTTTAAATGACACGCTGTGCCCATGCTCACCCTCACGTGCCCACGCTCACCCATGGAAGGATTCTTGCTGTCTCTCCTAAAAAGAAAGCCTCAAACTAAAAAGACATTTCTCAAAGCCACCAATCAGTTTTAAATCTTTGTGTATTTGAATGGGATTGGTGATGGAGCAAGCAGAGAGAGAGAGAAAGACAGTTTCACAGGAGATATTTCGGGGAGTACATTCCCAATCAGCTGAACCAGAGCTGGCTGAATTAAGGTGGCCATACACTGTACAACCATCGCAAGACCTTAGTCTTGCAATGGTTGTAAAGTGATTAAAAAAACGTACGATCTGCCCATCTTGGACAGGCAGATCGTACTCTCGATCATCGCAAGCCCGCCCCCCTGAGGGGCGGGCTTCCGATGACCGCAATGCTGAACGGGCAGTGTGCGTGTGCGCACACCGGCCCGTTCGGCATTTGTCTCCCGAGCACCGTTCAAACCAGCCGAAAATCGTACGATTCTCGGCTGGTTTTCTAACATGCTCCTTAGACAAAAGACGTGCGACCGTACAGTAGAAACGGTCGCACGTCTTCGTTCACACTGTTCGATTCTCGTACGATTGCGGGATTTCCCGCGATTCTCGTACGAGAATCGAGCAGTGTATGGGCACCTTTACAGAGAGCTCAGATAATTGAGGTGATCGGATGGGCTCCCAGCTGCAGTGTTTGCTGAAAAGCATTAGTAGCTTGCTGACTGCTCCACTTGCTTCTACTTGTTGCCTGGTCTAAAGACCAAAAGAAATACAGTAGACATCATTTGCTCTTGGTTGACTTTCTCTTTTGGCACATAGAGGGCCAGTGCCAATGGGCTTTAGTTCACTTGAGAATTACTTCTCAAGTCTATGGAAACGCAAAAGCAGTTGAAGCAGTGCAAGTACACCCACGATGAATTCTAAATGATCTCAGAGGCATAACAAATTCATATCAAAAGCTGCATTTGCCTATTGAAGTCTGTCAACTCAGGCCCATAGGCACAGTGTTTAGAACTCAAGAGAACTTTCAGGGCTAATGAAAGGGGGGGAAATGTAATTAGATTTAACTATGAAGACCCTCATCCTTGTCTTAGGACCAGGTTGGTGAATACAGCATGCATGTGACTTCAGTTTTCGATGCTTCTGAGATCATTCAGAAATGTTTGCAGGTGCAGTTGTCTTGCAGTTGACCTTCTTCAGTTGCCTTTGTATTGCCATAGACTTGAATGAGAAGAGAAGTTCTAAAGAGAACAAAAGGCCATCAACACTGGTCCTTATTCAGGAATCACGTCTTCCTCTCTTATGCACATTCCTGACCCTTCCTTCTTGGGTGCAGGTCGAGGGCTACCTGTTTTGCTTATAAAGTGCACCCAAACATGGCTGCAATCACCTTTAACCTCCATTTAAAGTAAAAGGTGTGCTCCCCTCTTATTTACAACACTTCTAAATCGCTGTCTTTGCCAACTTTAGCACACAATAAAGCTGCATATAACATACCGACTTGTATATGCCCTTTTACTCTGGCTAGGCTGGAGTATTAAAACTCCCACAGCAGCCAACCTGAGAACCTTTACTACAGAGACTGTGTCCTTGATATTTGTGTTGTATCTTTGTTATTCTATGTTCTTCCTTCACCCTGGGTGCTATCTGCTGTTCACACCCTGACTCACCAGTTATCTCCTAAGATGGCCCTGTCAACTTTGCGCACAATTACTACTCTAATCTAATCATCTGTACAATATATGAAGAGTCTTTGGACTTTACGTCAGGCCATCCAGTTTAAACGTTTGCATGCTACCCTAATGCCTTCAGCTTGCACGTTCTATGTCGTGACAGCAGAATTGTCTTAATCTCTACAAACTTTACCATGGTGGGACATCTAACTGATTCTTTATCTACTGGGTTAGGGGGAGGTGCTGTGGGCTGTGTTTAGCGCTCCTTGTTGGATTGGTGCTAAGAATGTGGATAATACGATTTAAAGCCCATATCTGGGCAAGGCTGATATGGAAGGTGCATCATATGAGGGCTGTATCTGTACATATATGTGTTTTTTGTTCACTTGCTTTCATTACCTTTTGTATGATATGTTGCACATGTGGCAAAAGTCTCAGATTTACCCATCACAATACATGGCCTGCTGCAGATTGGATTGCCTGTAGCCAAGATCAAGAAGTGTCAGTAGTCCATCCTAGTTGTTGCAGCCCTAAATCAGCTCATCGGTGCCCAGCGGTTGCGACATGCAATGAAAATTATTAGTGCCCCCCCAGATTTGACTGTTGTATCTTATGTGCCCCCCCTACATATTGTTCCTAGAGTCGCCACTGATCCTGCCCATGCATGGCCAGCCTTTTCATTTTAAATGCATTTGCCCTAAAATGTTAATGATCTTGTCCTGACTCATCATTCTCTGGCATTTTTGTCCCTGATAGATCTTACTTAGCTGTCCCAGCATCCTCCTGGGTCGATGACTTTGTGGACTGGCTGAATCCTTCATCGGACTGCTGTAGATTGTTACTAAACGGGACCTTCTGCTCTTCTACTAGCAGTGAGTACTATTATTGCACCAAGACAGCGTCACTAAAATGGAGAGATAATTAAAAATGATAAACGCTTACTCTGATTTATTTGCATCAAATAATTCATATATTTCTTCTATACTGTTACATACTGTATGCTTGGAAATTTAGTTCTAAAATTATACCCTCTGTGACCACTTATCCACAAACTGCACTTCCCAAGTATGTGGTCTAGTACTTGGACCAATATCTTCTACCTACAAGAGTAGCTAGTCTAGTATCTACTTCAATAACTGCTCTAGAACCAGGTCTATTATCTCCGGCAATACCTAATCTAATATCTGTTCTCGTAAATGCTTCAGTATATTGTTTTAGTAAATCCCTTACAATCTTCTCTAGTACCTGGTCTAGGATCTTCTCCATCATTTCCTCTGCCATCTCCTACAGTACTCCAGTGTCTGCTCTAGTATCTCTTGTAGTACTTGGACTAGTGTCTACTCCATTTTCTTCTCTAGTATCTTCTGAAGTACCTGGTCTGGTGTCTACTTCAATATCTGATCTATTACCTTCTACATTACTTGGTCTACTATCTACTCTACTATTTCTTCTTGTCCCTCCTATGGCACCTAGTCTAGTGTCTACTTCATGGTTTGGCACTTCTATTCTTATACTTACTGTTTTTGGACATATAGACACTGCCACATTGGAATGTAGACACTGCCAACCCAGTAACCAGATTACCCTTATTAGTAGATAGTAACACCAATAGGACAACCTTACGGGTCCAGCGCTACCTTTCCACTTCCTCATTGTACCCAGGCAGACACACCACCTAGGCACACTCAGTGTCCCTGTACTTCTGACCCCCGTAGGTAAAGTCAGTTTTTACAGACAGTGTTTAGGAAGCGGCAAAATAGGAAAGGGAGCAAACAGGAGCTTCCAACAGACTCTATGCACAGGTACTGTTGGATAGGATATCAAGTGGTATAGCAAGGGTCATTTCAACAGGGTCTGGCTCTTAGCAACCCGGGACGCTCTGGTCATAAAGGGGGCGGCAGGCACACTGCAAACACTGTGCAGCAGAGCGGGCCATGCCACTCTGCCTGCCGCCCCCCCCTACACACACACACACACATACATGACCCAGAAAGATGCCGCTTGAGTCCATAACCACAGGCTGCCTCATTATAGGTATGGCCCCGAAGAAAGACCCTTTAAACTTTGGCATGTGAAATCTTTTAGCTCAAGAAGAGAACATCTCTGAGCTGAGCAACTGACCTATTACTACTCTATTTTCAGCACTACCTGGATGTATACGGAGGTGTATGAGAACTACGAATGGACCGTTACGACCGACAGTAGACGATTTTAATCACTACTTGCCCATTTTCCTGCAGGATTATCCCAATCTGAGATGTGCCAAAGGGTGAGTCACAGTAGCTGGCAGAACAAACAGCTAAATGTCCTAATAGGTCTTCTACTAGAAAATGGCCGTCCATTGGCTTTTATTGCTGCTACATAATGTGTTAAACTTTCACAAATCTAGCTCTTTGATTTGGAGCCATTTTTTTTAAATGTATTTGATTGTTTATCCGATTAACCGATTAATCGAACTTAATAATCGGCTAACTAATCGATTTTGAAAATAATCGTTAGCTGCAGCTCTAGATATTATGTTCACAGTCTTCCATCCAATAAATATGTGTACTAAAGCATCTCTATACCAAAAAACAAAAATGTAACGTATTGCCGTTTTATAGTCCTTAGATGTGGTGGCCGCGTTAGTTTTATTTTTTCAGGCTTTTTAAAAAAATCTGTTTTTAAAGAGAACTCCGGGCAGAACTTTTATTAACCCTTGCAGTCAGGCTGCCCCGCACTGTAATGGTTAACTGCTCATTTAGGTGTTAAAAAAAGTTATACTCACCAGCACTGCTGAGCCGGCTCCTGCTTCTCTGGACACTGAAGTCTATCTCCTCCTACGCTGCAGAAATGTTCCTCAGCATCCTCACATCTATACACTTTGTATAGAATGTGATGATTTACGGGACCTTAGATTGCTGCAGAGGAGGGGGAGGGAGGCTGCAAGGACTCCATTCACACCGTTTTCCGCATGGTTTTTCGCACGGGAAACAGCGCAGAACGAAACTGCGCACGCGTTAACATACGCTCAGATTCCACCCATTTGCAGCTATAACTATAGCCAGAATGTGAGGAATCCACCCATAAAATCGAGCTTGGACTATTTTGTGGGGTGCAAAACGCACAACCGCTGCAATAGTCTGAACAATGCACATTGCAATGCATTGTTTCTTATGCTTAGCGCAGTTCCGCACGTATTCATATGGAAAACCGCTCATGTGTAAATGGAGCCTAAGAATAAGCCACATTGGCGGTTCAGGTGAGTATAACTTGTTTTAGCACCTAGACAAAAACGAGCACTTAACCCATGCTGTGCGAGGGTAGGCCCACTGCAGGGGTTCATAAAAGTTTTGCCCGGAGTTCTTCTTTAACTTGATCCTGTAAATACCACACTTCCTGTCCTAGGGTGCTATGCTCACTAACTCCACTGTATCTTAGTTTGTCACCCAGCCTGCTCTCCTGATTTCTACTACAAAATCTCCTTCCTCTCTTCATCTACATTATATGGGGAGTGGGGGAATTTGTAGTTTACAGAAGATAGCTTGGAAGGACAAAAACTTTTTTTGTGATTTTTAGTTCAATTCACAGGCAGTGACAAGGATACTACGGGGCTGAGTTATAAATGTTCTGCCCGGCGTATGGCTGGGCGAATGCCGTTTCCACTAGATGGAGCAGAGGAGCCTTTTTTTAGCTAACAAAAAAAAACTATATAAATATATTAAAAAGATGTAAAATACAACCGTTTAAAAGGGTAAGAGCTAAAAAAAAAAAAACAAATAAACGAAATCAGTGTCTTCCAGTTTCCTCTTAGAATACAATATATACAGGTGAAACTCGAATAATTAGAATATCGTGCAAAGTTCATTTATTTCACTAATGCAACTTAAAAGGTGAAACTAATATATGAGAGAGACTCATTACATGCAAAGCAAGATAATTCAAGCCGTGATTTGTCATAATTGTGATGATTATGGCTTACAGCTCATGAAAACCCCAAGAACCCCAAATCCACAACCTCAAAAAAGTACTTTATTACATGCAATCAATACAACAAGGATTGTACATAGAACAATATCGGACCTCTGAAAAGTACAAGCATGCATATGTACTCAGTACTTGGTTTGGGCCCCTTTTGCAGCACTTACTGCAATTACTTTTGCACGATATTCTAATTATTCGAGTTTCACCTGTATTGGTCCTTCCTCTTTTCATGCACCAGCGGCAGGGGTGGAGCAATAATCCTCTGAGACCAGGCTGTGCAATGACGCTGACCCATGAGGTGGGCCCATGACGTCCTGGACATAGAGGATGATTTTGGCCATCATTTAACCTGGATAACTGAAGATATCTAGTGGAGGAAAAGGGGTACTGCAGGGCCGAATTGCTAACCACTAACCCACTGTGCTGCCCCAATATAGGAGTTTCCACTGAGGAACACAGCGGCGTGGTTGTCAGCCCTTGCAGCACTGAGGATCCCCAGTTAAAATCCCGGTCAGGACCTCTCTGCATGGAGTTTGCATTTTCTCTCTGTGGTTGTGTGGGTTTCCTCTGGGTACTCCGATTTCCTCCCACATTCCAAAAACATGCTGGAAGGTTAATTGGCTCCTGTCTAAATTGGCCCTCTATGTATGCATGTGAGATAGGGACCTTAGACTGTAAGCTCCTAAGGGCAGGGACTGATGTGAATGTGCAACGATGTAAAGTGCTGCGTACATTGTTGGTGCTATATAAATAACTTATCAATATTATACATAAAAAATGAAATTGCATTGTATCACACATTGTATAAACATAAATTATGCTTCTGCAGGGGTCTGGGTGCTTATGACAATGCTGTCAAGTTCAATGACCGAGGAGAGATCATAGGTAAGAGGGATCTTCTTCCCATGTATGATGTCACTGGTGTCATGTTGGTGTTATTAAATGGAGGTCTATTTTTTTCCCACAGCCACCCGTTTTATGGCATATCACTCCCCTCTAAAGAACTCTCAGGAGTATACAGGGGCTCTGATGCAAGCTAGAGAACTGGCAGCGAACATCACCGAATCATTAAGAAAAGTTCCGGGTACCGACCCTAATGTAAACGTCTTCCCATACACGTGAGTGAAAGCTCTAAATTTACTGACATGCTATTTGTCCTATGACTACTGGAGATCAGGGAACCAATTAACACAAAATGTATATTTGACTTTGATCATGCCAGTTTTATAGATGAGAATAGCTGCAAACATTTGGCGGTTTACATCAAAGAGCTCCATTTTCATTTTCAACAAAAAGTAGAGTAGCTAAACCCAAGAACAAACATTTAAACTGAACTGCAGTGTAGAAAAATTAACCCTGGAAGTAGGGCGCCCCACCGCACTGCATGGGTCAAATGCGGGTTAGGTCAAGGGGTAGAGGAATAGGGAGTATTACGTAGCTTATGTTCTCTTCCTCTGTGTCTCCGATCCCCTAAGACTCCTCTCTAGCATTCTCCCAGCCATGGTTACATGCTTGCCTCCTTCACATACAATGCAGGACTAACAGTCTTGCATTGTATTTGATGACTTTGAGGGACTGTCCACAGAAGAAGTTGATTGTTAGAATTTAAATACACTTCAAGTAGTCCCTTTCATGCTCCGAAGCATGCTATCCTATCCTCCTCGGAGCTTGCCTAGCCTGACAGAGGAGGATCAGGCATAACCCCCATCTGAAAACATTGTCAAGTGGTCAACCTTTTTTTTACTTCATCAGTTTTTCCTTACTCTCAGAGATGCCAAGTGCTGTCATAAGGCCCAACGTAATGATGCTTTGGGTGCTATTTCATTGCCATAGTGTCACGTTCATCTCTTGTCACAGACTGCATTGGCTTATGACCAGTGGTTACCACTTCCTGCCAGTAATTCATCCCACATCTCAGTGTATTTTAGGTGATCAAAAACTCTTTTGTCTTATACCACTCAAAACTAGCAAGACGTAAGCTAAACCTAAAGGAACCTAATGTCCTAAATACACAGGACTCATTGTGTAGATAGGCCCCCTTTCAGCGAAGGCACCCATACACAGTACGATCCGAGGAGAAGCTGAAGCATGTGCCGTTCCTCTTCTCCCTGCCCAGCCGCGGTTTTGTTGGCCCCTTGGCGCCCCTGTTGCCAATGGCGCCCTGTGCTCGCCATGGCAACAGGGGTGAGGGGACACAGCCAGGCCGGCCATTGCTGTACCCCCTCTCAGCTGCGCCTGAGGCGAGTGACTCACTCGCCCCATGGTAGCTACAGCCCTGCCCTTCACATATGTGAAACCGGCCAACTGGGTGGGTCTCAGGATTTCCTTGTGAGAATGATGCCAACATCTGTGTTCACCACCATTTGCATGTAAACTGACACGCTGCAATTAATAGTTTGCATCCTGAGACTATCATCCGCAGGCAATTGCAGCATGTGCACGTGAGATTTCACCCCCTTGGCCCCATTATAATGTCTGCTAAAATGTTATTCTAGCTATGGGTAGAATAGGGAAAGTGTTGACCTTGACCTTGACCTTCTCTCATCTATCCTAAACTAAAAAACAAAACTTTGGCTAGCTTCTACTAAACACATACACTATATAACCAAAAGTATTGGGACACCCCTCCAAATCATTGGATTCAGGTGTTCCATGAAATTTCCTTGCTACTACCGTAAATATTTCACGGTCACCTGTTAGTGGTATTATAACAAAGTGGAAGCAACTGGGACTAACAGCAACTCAGCCACAAAGTGGAAGGCCACGTAAAATGAAAGAGCGGGGTCAGCGCCAACTGTCTGCAGAGTCAATAGCTACAGACCTCCAAACTTCGTGTGGCCTCCAGATTGGCACAACAACAATGTGTAGAGAGCTTCATGGAATGGGTTTCCATGGCCGAGCAGCTGCACCCAAGCCTCACCAATTGCAATACAAAGCGTCGGATGCATTGGTGTAGAGCACGCCGCCACTGGACTCTAGAGAAGTGGAGACGTGTTCTCTGGAGTGACGAATCACGCTTCTCTGTCTGGCAATTCGATGGATGTGTCTGGGTTTGGCGGTTGCCAGGAGAATGGTACTTGCCTGACTGCATTGTGCCAAGCAGTGGCGTAACAATCGCCATAGCGACCCAGGCGGCCGCTATGGGCCCGGGTCACAGTGGGGCACAGGGGGACCGGCCAGATGCCGAGTGGACCACCTGGGTCGCTATGGTATCCTCTGCTGGTGGCTTTCACTGGCGACTCTGAAGAAGAATGCACTGCTGTTCAGATCACTGACCGTAATCTGTGCATCATCGCGTTCGTCTACAGAGCCGCTGCTGAGTCAATGAGAGCCAGCAGCGGCGGTGGAGGAGGCCGGACCCGGCAGGGGAGGAGGAGGCGGGGCCCGTGGTCGACAACAGGGGAGGAGGGGCCCAGTGACGGAGAAGGAGGCGGGCCCGACGACGGAGGAGGAGGCGGGCCCATCAGCGAGCGTGAAGGAAGAGGAGGCGGACTGGTAAGGAGTGCGACCAGCCCACCTGAGGGTGACCCTGTAGAGCCCACCATAGAAAGTCTATGGTGGGCTCTGCAGGGTCACCCTCAGGTGGGCTGTGTGGGATCTCAAGTGGGCTTTGCAAGGGGTATAACTAGAAGTCACAGGGCTCCATACAAAATTTTGCTATGGGGCCCTGTGATTTCTAGTTATGCCCCTGGTGCCAAGTGTAAAGTTTGGTGGAGGGGGGATTATGGTGTGAGGTTGTTTTTCAGGGGTTGGGCTTGGCCCCATAGTTCCAATGAAGGGAACTCTTAAGGCATCAGCATACCAAGACATGTTGGACAATTTCATGCTCCCAACTTTGTGGGAATAGTTTGGGGATGGCCCCTTCCTGTTCCAACATGACTGCGCACCAGTGCACAAAGCAAGGTCCATAAAGACATGGATGAGCGAGTTTGGGGTGGAGGAACTTGACTGGCCTGCACAAAGTCCTGACCTCAACCCGATAGAACACCTTTGGAAAGAATTAGAGCGGAGACTGCGAGCCCACCCTTCTCGTCCAACATCAGTACCTGACCTCACAAATGCACTTCTGGAAGAATGGTCAAACATTCCCATAGACACACTCCTAAACCTTGTGGGCGCCTTCCCAGAAGAGTTGAAGCTGTTATAGCTGCAAAGGGAGGGCCAACTCAATAGTGAACCCTACGGACTAAGACTGGGATGCCATTAAAGTTCATGTGCGTGTAAAGGCCAGCGTCCCAATACTTTTGGCAATATAGTGTATATGTAAATGAGGTCCATTTGTAAGCATGAAAGTACAAACCCTTGGGCTTCCTCTGAAAATCAGGGATAGTTAACCTCAATGCACTTGATATATAGCTTTGCTGTCCTTGTGTTTATTCATGTATATTACCCATGCATGCTTTTGTATATTGTGATCACCTCACTGTTCTTTCTTCTTCTTCCTTTTTTTTCTGATCATTTCCCATCTGCTTTTCACGCAGGATTACATACGTTTTCTATGAGCAGTACATGAGCATTGTTCAGGAAGGTCTCTTCACGCTGGCCCTATGCCTGCTGCCAACCTTTGCCGTGTGCTGTATTCTGCTGGGAATGGACTTACGTTCGGGTCTCATTAACCTAATTACCATTTTCATGATCATCATAGACACAGTTGGTGTTATGACCCTGTGGAGCATTGATTACAATGCCATCTCTCTTATCAATCTGGTAACGGTGAGTGAAAGTTCTTTCATGCTCCTCTCTCATACATGTCCTAAGTCAAGCCAATATCTCCCAAGCTTTGCTTAAACATGCACCCAGGCCCGGATTTCCCACAAGGCCACCGAGGCCCGGCCTCGGGGCGGCAGAGCGCAGAGGGGCGGCAACGGTGACCTTGTGGGGAAGTTGTGGGCGCCGGTGTAAGGTGTTGCCCCGCCCTGCCACCTGGTTGCCATTCTCAATTGATGGGGAGGGGGGGTTGGCGGCGCGGGGGGCGTATTGTGGAACCTGGCCTTGGGGCGGCAGGGGGAGTAAATCCGGCCCTGCGTGCACCGATAGAGAGGCTAAGATACGCCTTTCTTAGAGAATGTACTGCTCCAGTCTCCTTTCAGCAGTACTTTTGGTCATGTGGTATCTACTGAACAGAACCCTAAGCCTCCCATTCATTTGCACTTACAATATCGGATGCCTTTGGTTATGTGGGACCCACTAAAGGTGCCTGGAGCAGCAAATTTTCTGCAAAAGTGAGTATTTCATCCCCTCTATTTATTTAGCTATCCAAGAAAGAATGCTGACAGAGTTCAATTTTAAAATGTGAGTACAGGTCCCCTATTAGACATCCTTCCTCTAAACCGGGCAAGTCACACTGGCATTTAATGGGTCCCATGTGGCCCTCTTGTTCCTTCTGTGACCCTTATTGGTTTGAGGATTAAAAAACAACAACAATGTACAGGTGAAACTCGAATAATTAGAATATCGTGCAAAAGTAATTGCAGTAAGTGCAGCAAAAGGGGCCCAAACCAAGTACTGAGTACATATGCATGCTTGTACTTTTCAGAGGTCCGATATTGTTCTATGTACAATCCTTGTTTTATTGATTGCATGTAATAATCTACTTTTTTGAGGTTGTGGATTTGGGGTTCTTGGGGTTTTCATGAGCTGTAAGCCATAATCATCACAATTATGACAAATCACGGCTTCAATTATCTTGCTTTGCATGTAATGAGTCTATCTCATATATTACTTTCACCTTTTAAGTTGCATTAGTGAAATAAATGAACTTTGCACGATATTCTAATTATTCGAGTTTCACCTGTATGTCCAGTTTTTCTCCAGTTGCTGAGTTGCACTTCCTTACAAAAATTGCAGCTAGATATTTAGAAAATTAAATAGTTGCACATTTTACTATAGAAAACAGGAATCACCAGCACTCACATTATTGCCCTGATGAAGTGACCCTGTGCGGCCCCAAAACGTTGGTATTTCGTTTTGTGACGACTGGTCCGAATAAATAGACATTCATTACTTGAACTATATTTACTGAGTGCTAGTGATTCCTGTTTTCTACTGTTGATGTGCACGGCGCCATCTGTGATTATCACTGCGAGCACCACCATTGCAATTTGGGCCGGGAACGCTGTAAGGAGTGCAGAGAGACCTATCGCTTTCTATGCACATTTTACTATAACATTGAAGTGGAACTAGAGCCACCAATTTAATGGTCTCCCAAAACAGGTACTTTCAAGGTATGCCAACAGTTAAGGTTGTCAATGTGCTTATTTTAGCTCTCGAATGAACTTACAAGCCTTGAAATCGCTGGTGTCATAGCTGATGACGTGTGCAGCACGATGGCAACTGCAATCCAAATAGAAGCCAAGATGGCACCTTCCTTGGCTGTAAAGGATAAGAGGTTGTACCAAGTGCCCCCTTACAGAGTTAGTCCTCTCACTTCAACCCCTTGTTTCATCTGAGTTTTAGAACTTGCCTTTTCTAAATTTTAAACCTCCTCTTGTCTTCACAGGCCATTGGGATTTCAGTGGAATTTGTTTCCCACCTTACTCGATCTTTTGCCATGAGCAGCAAGCTCACCAAAGTGGAACGGGCAAAAGAAGCCACTATCTACATGGGCAGTGCCGTAAGTACAGGAGATAAGCAATCACAACTCAGCATCAGCTTAGAGAGGACTTTGTAGTTCATAATAACCACCATGCCACGAAAAAGCTCTTGTGTGACTATGCCCCATGTCTAGGTTTTGTAAATTACAATGGATGCGTGGCAGAATCAAAGCTAGGTAACAGGTAGATAAAGGCAATCTATCACATGGGTAAATAGACTGCTCTGGACATGTTTTAAAGATGAGGCTCCCATTGCTGACTGTCCTAAATATACTGGCTGCCTCTGGCTTCAATACTTTTTGAGTCACTGACCCAGAACATTTGTGTCAGAATGAAGTCTTAACTCCTGATTAGTGATGAGCAAACTGGCCTGCAATCAGGTGGCATGGATGATTCCTGAACCAGAAATCCTGGTTCTGCAAAAGTCCAGGTGAACTGAACCCAGGCCTGCATGTGTCCTAACAACCAATAACGCGGGCAACACTGCATTATTGGTTGCCAGGACGCAGACTGGAGCACCATAACAGCTATTGATTCTGTGGACCTGCCAGTGTCTTGACAACCAATGACACTGTGGCCCTACGGAGCATCAGTGGTCGATAGGTCACAGAGATATGTTTGGTGGGCAAGCGAACTGGCCAGAGCATTTTCCCATTTATCTAACTGTGAACATCTTTGGTTCAGGTCGAAGTCATAGTCAACCTGAACTCGAAACTCACCCCTATTTCTGGCCTGCACAGCCTCATTTGTTGCTAAGATGGTTGCTGTCCCACAGCATCATAGGTTGGTATGGTGCACCCTCCTACATTGTAGCAGCTACTAGCATCCTAGCAACCAATGATGCTGTGTGAGCCCCACATGTCATTGGTAGCTAAGAAACAGAGGGAGGTTCGGTGGTTGAGTTTACTGGCCAAATCGTTCACCCATTTGGCAGATTGTGAACAGCTTGGGTTCGGGCTGAACTCATAGCCAACCCAAACCTGAAGTTCATCTCTACTCCTGACCTTCATATTTGTTCCAGACCTGTTCTTCAGAAAGTATTAGAGCCATTGAAAGAGCATGACAACCAAGCAGCTAGCATTTTAGAAGGAGGGGCCAGCAATGCAGCCTCCCTATTCTGTCAGTCCAGATTTTCTTTAAGACTATATACTGTAGTCTATGGGGTGCTGTAGTAAGGAAGATGCACGGGTATCTTATACTTTTGTCTATCTTCACAAACAGGTGTTTGCCGGAGTAGCCATGACTAATCTCCCAGGGATCATTGTTCTGGCCTTCGCGAAAGCTCAGCTCATCCAGATCTTCTTCTTCCGCCTAAATTTAACCATCACTCTGCTGGGACTTGTACACGGCCTCATATTCCTGCCTGTTGCACTCAGCTACTTTGGTAAGTTGGCCTGGGATCAATGTGTGTCTGAGTGCAGTGTTCATATACTATGCCTGGATTCAGTTGATGTTGGAAAGCAGCTGGGGATATGACTCTTACCAGTCAAGATGTACACATGGCTGAGCCATTCTTGTTTTAATGGAACACAGGAAGACTGAAATAGGAAATTACATCAATACCATATAGTTCTACAAGGAAGAACATTACATTATACAAGGATAAAACATATCACACACTACCACCTAGTAGCAGAACCACTAATAATATATGAAAATGGCTGTTGCACCAATGTCTGTATAAACAGCGTGCTAACAGTTACAGAAAACAACAACATCGAGGACATGTATGAACTGTTGTTCCTCCATCCAGTTAGCAGTGGCCAGTGTGTTAATTGGGGCACTTATGATAAGGGGCAAGACTTGCAAGCAAGGTGAAGCATTAATGAAATGTCAGGTGAAATTACAGGGGCCGTAGAATGGTGCTCATGTAAATGAAGCATCTCAAGAAGACCAGATACATTCCTACATTTTATCCAAGCCAAAAACTCAGGGGTCAGGGGAAAAAAGCAGGCCCACCTATAGACTTGCAAGACGTGGAACTGGCAGGAAAAGGCTGGTATGGGGTTTATATCTTGGCTTTCAGATTCCTTCCTCTACTTATCTGTCTATCAGGAAGTGTAATCAATGTTGCTACTATATGGCTGCTAAGATACACTGCCTGTCCAAAAAAGGTCACCACCTGCATTTAGCAAAGCAAATAGGTCAGAGCCTTCTATTGGATAATAGGTCTAGATACAGCAACGTTATGTGCGCCAAAAAAATGAGTTCAACTGTCTACCGGAATATACTGAATGATCAGGTTTTTTCATCAATGGATTTTTCCTTCCCTGATGGCACATTGCGTTATATTCCAAGATGACAATGTCAGGATTCATCGAGCTCAGATTGTGAAAGAGTGGTTCAGGGAGCGTGAGACATCATTCTCACACATGGATTGGCTGCCACAGAGTCCAGACCTGAACCCCATTGAGAATATTTGGGATGTGCTGGAGAAGACTTTACACAGAGGTCTGACTCTCCCATTATCACTACAAGATCTGGGTTAAAAATGTATGTAACTCTGGATGGAAATAAAATTGTGACATTGCATGAGCTTATCTGATCGAATGGCGAATGCGTGCCGTAATCAAAGCTAAAGGTGGTCCAAGGAAATGTTAGAGTGTATGACTTTTATTTGGGACAGGCAGTGTATAAGCCACATAGACAGCCCATTGGTTTCAGCGTGGTTGATTTAATAGAAGACAAATTGGCTGGTTACTTTGCATGGGAATTTTCCTTTTAACTTAGTGAAAGAGGTGAAGCTCTGCTGACTCCCATCATCCAATCATACCGCCTCTTTTATTTTCCTTACACGTGACTGGGTATTCTTTGCAAAGTAAATTTTCACCACATTCACTAAGCTATGAGAAAATTCCCCTGCAAAGTGCAATCTCTCCTACTTTTATTGCAGTGCACCACATCTGTGCATTGTAGTGTTTTGTAATAAAAATAAAATCTAAAGTCCAGTTTAAAAGACAACTATGTCCAAACATTTTATGGCCATACTTCTCTTTAGGGTCACAGGAGGAAATTTACTGATGTCCTCTTGTGACCCAAAACTCAGCATATAGCGGGCTATTGTGTTAGAGGAGAGTCATATGGCCCCCTTAGAGAAGAGTCATATGGCCCCCTTAGAGAAATAGTTAAAAAAAATTGTACAATAAAATAAAACAGTATTTTTGCATCTCGTTAGTTTGTTTTAGCAAGTGATTTTTGGAATTAGGAATTGCCAGAGAGCGACTATAAAATTCCAGTCCAACCGGCTCTCTGAAAATAATTTTTAAAGTGGAACTTCAGCTTTCTTCACACTTGTGACCAATTTGTTTAAGGTTGGTTCATCTGACAGCTGCAAGCAGTCACATCTGCAACTTACCAGGCAGGGGGCAATAAAATAAGGCCGTATGCTGCTGGATGGTGTGCAATCAGCGAGGGGAAAGGGTGCTGGTGGAGAGTGAAGCCACTAAGAGCCAGGTGGGGAGATGTGTAAGGGCTCTGCATCTTCCCGCCCAGCTCTTGGCAACCTGGGACGCTCTGGCCGGTGTCACGCCGAGCTCCTGACAACCAGTGACATCAATGGGTGCCAGGAGCTTAGTTGGACACCTGCAAGAGCGTCCCAGGCTGCCAAGAGCTGGGCGGGGAGATGTGTAAGGGTCGTATACATCTCCCTGCCCAGCTCTTAGCAACCGGAGACACTCTGCCCCCCATCCTGCCTAGCTCCTGGCAAACAATGATGGCCCAGGTTGCCCGGAGCTGGGCGGGATGCAAGCCAGAGCATCCCAGGTTGCTAAGAGTTGGGTGGGGAGATGTGTAAGGGTCGTATACATCTCACTGCTCAGCTCTTAGCAACCTGAGACACTCTGGCCCCCCTCCTGCCCAGCTCATGGCAACCAATGATGGCCCAGGTTGGCAGAAGCTGGACGGGATGCAGGCCAGAGGGCCCAGGTTGCTAAGAGCTGGGCGGGGAGATGTGTAAAGGTGGCCATACACTTTACAACCCTCACAAGACTTTTGTCTTGCGAGGGTTGTAAAGTACTTAAAAAAACGTACGATCTGCCATCTTGGACAGGTTCGACGGAAGACGTGCGACCGTACAGTAGAAACGGTCGCACGCCTTCCATACACTGCACGATAATCGTACGATCGCGGGATTTCCCGTGATTCTCGTACGAGAATCGTGCAGTGTATGGGCACCTTAAGGGTCGTTTACATCTCACTGCTCAGCTCTTAGCAACCTGAGATACTCTGGCCCCCATCCTGCCCAGCTCCTGGCAACCAATGACGGCCCAGGTTGGCAGAAGCTGGGCAGGAACCAAGCCAGAGCATCCCAGGTTGCTAGGAGCTCCGACCCTTACACATCTTCCCGCCCAGCTCTTAGCAACCTGGGACACTCTGGCCAGAAAGGGGGCGGCAGGCACACCGAAAACATTGTGCAGCAGAGCGGCCATGCCCCTACGTGTCCCAAAGAGGTGCCACCTGAGGCAACAGACTCAGACTGCCCCAATATAAGGAAGGCCCTGGCTGTATAAATGTGCCAACACAGGCCTCATATGACTTCATCTTCCATTTTGGGTCATTCACTAATCCAGTGCACAGGGATCCAAACCTGAAAGAAGCACTTTCAGGGAGGTGTCCTTCTCATTTCCGGGAGGTGCCCCCCCCCACCCCCCATCCACGGAGGAGAGGTTAGGGGGGGCTGGGAGAGAGCACCCCCCTGAAATGATGGCAGATAGCACAGGAAGCAATAGCTTCTTTGCTATCTGCAGGCTTCCTTTTTTTTTGTATTCTGACAGTTGCAGTCGTCAGAATAAAAAAAAAAAAAGGCATACGATTGCATAGCTGGGCAGCCTACAGCCGCAGTGCAAGGGTTAGGTGCTCATTTTGTTCTATGGTCTAAAATAAGAAAAGATGTACTCACCCGAACCTGGCTGCTAAACCAAGCAAAACAAATGGCAAACGCACTCATCAATTTATTTTTAACCTTAGCGGTGAGACAAGTTTTTTTGCATGCTGGCTGGTGAGTGTGCTGGGAAACCTTTTGCTGTTTGGCTGCTAAACCAATCCCAGCGCCTCTTCTTCCCCGGGCTCCAGCGGTCTAAGCCCCACTGACATCATCACAGCTTATGCGGGTCCATTGACTTGCAATAAACGGTGCTGAGGGACAATCCACAGCTGGAGTGGAGGGATGTTTGTATGTATGTGTATGTGTGTATATGTGTATGTATATGTGTGTGTGTGTGTGTGTATGTATATGTGTGTGTGCATGTATATGTATATGTGTGTGTGTTTGTATGTGCTTGTGTGTGTGTGTGTATATGTTTGTGTGTGAATGTGTATGAGTATATATGTATGTGTGTGTGTGTGTGTGTGTATATGTTTGTGTGTGAATGTGTATGAGTATATATGTGTGTGTGTGTGTATGTTTGTATGTATGTGTGTGTATGTGTATGTTTGTATGTGGGTGTGTATATGTGTGTATGTTTGTATGTGAGTGTGAGTGTGAATGTGTATGAGTGTGTATGTATGTATGTATGCATGTATGTGTGTGTATGTTTGTATGTATGTGTGTGTGTGTGTATCTGTATGTGTTTGTGTGTGAATATGTGTGTATGTTTGTGTGTGAATATGTGTGTGTGTGTGTGTGTGTGTATGTATGTGTGTGTAGATGTGTGTGTGTGTATGTTTGTATGTGTGTGTATCTGTATGTGTATGTTTGTGTGTGAATGTGTATATGTGTATGTATGTATGTGTGTGTGTGTGTGTGTGTGTGTGTGTGTGTGTGTGTGTATATGTTTGTGTGTGTGTGTGTATATATGTGTGTGTGTGTGTGTGTGTGTGTGTGTGTGTGTGTGTATATGTTTGTGTGTGTGTGTGTATATATGTGTATGTATGTGTGTGTGTGTGTGTGTATGTATGTGTGTGTAGATGTGTGTGTGTGTATGTTTGTATGTGTGTGTATCTGTATGTGTATGTTTGTGTGTGAATGTGTATATGTGTATGTATGTATGTGTGTGTGTGTGTGTGTGTGTGTGTGTGTGTGTGTGTGTATATGTTTGTGTGTGTGTGTGTGTATATATGTGTATGTATGTGTGTGTGTGTGTGTGTATGTGTATATATGTGTATGTATGTGCGTGTATGTATAGTATATAATATACTTTTTTTGCCAAACAATGAAATATTTGGTCGTGTCTCCAGCACTATAATGGGAACAGTTTCTGACCACAATGACCAATGTGTACAGATAACAGCAGGGCCAGATTAAGGGGAACTGATGCCCTAAACCAGTGGTAGGCAACGTTGACACTCCAGCTGTGGTGAAACTACAAATCCCATCGTCCAATTGTCTCCGGTAGTCATGTCTGTGGCTGTCAGAGTCTTTCAACTACTCATGAGGTTTGTAGTTCCACAACAGGTGGAGTGCTGATGTTACCTGTGCCCCAAGCACAGCCTAATAATCGTGCCCCCCCTTGTGCCCTCCATTGATCAACTAACAAGATGTTACGGGGTCTATTTATAAAAGGTGCTTTTCAATTCTTTCTGTGCGAGTTATCAGCTGCTGTGAGAACGGGCCAAATATGAATGTTCTTGGTGTCATTTCTCTTCTGGTTGAATGTTCTTCAATAGGTTCATTCATACAGAACAGAGCGAATGGGGTAATACCACATTATGATCAAAAAAATATCAAAGCGCTAAAGATGTGGTTTGTATAGAACTCGGTGCAACCAAGTATACAAGTGAGAATATAATACAGTGAAAATAAAAGGTTAAGTGATTTGGCCTATACCCAATAATGACTAAACAAATCAATGTCCTTCTTTTTGAAAAAGTCACATGACGAAACGCGTCAAAGAGGGTAGATTCTTTGTTTGCACACAAGTTTTTTAAACTGTTCCTGAGCTGCCTGTGCCGGCCGGACATTTTATACTGCCTGTGTAAGTTACTATTTTTTATAAATTTGTACATTTTTAATTACTACACCATGAGGGCTTTCTCCTTTTTTTATTCCTAAAATATCGTGGGACCACGGCGAGAAGTTTCGCCAGCACCATATCTGAGAAAATCCATCTTTGTGCTTCTGGGACACCGTCAGCGCTGCAAGGGAGAAGATCAAACACTCACCCTGCTGGGTCTCAGAGCGGAAACAACCGGGTCCAAAATAAAGCGTGACCGTAAGCCTAAGTGCCACTAATCAAAAGCCTTCTACTAACTCCATTTGGTGAGTACCCACCCAAGAGGGGTCGTTGGACTACCACTGAAATATACCATCAACATTTTTTTCCTGTATACGTTTCCTATGGCTTTTTTTACCTCCCACTGAACACTGTGCTCCGGTGATTTAATTTTTTTCTTGTAAGGGTGATTTTTGTGTGGATCGCCTGCATATTGTTACATATCGGTTATAGACCTTTTTGATAGGTCATCATGTTTTTTTAAACATTTTTTGATGATTTAATGCAACAATTTATTACATTCGATTAACATTTGATACCATCACTAGTTAATAGACTTTCACATATTGGCTATTTTTCTTTGTTGTTTCAACGCTGTCTTGTTTTTCACAGTTCCTTTGACACAATTGAGTTATTCAGTTCCTCCTTTTTTCCAATATTATATGCAGGATTTCTTTTGATTTGTTTAGTCATTATTGGGTATAGGCCAAATCACTTAACCTTTTATTTTCACTGTATTATATTCTCACTTGTATACTTGGTTGCACCGAGTTCTATACAACCCACACCTTTAGCGCTTTGATATTTTTTTGATCACTTAAAGGATTTCATCCTTCTTTCATAGCTGCTTTAGGTTTTAATTATTAATATATATTTATCTTAGCCATTTTTCCAGGAGCACAGATTATTTATTTTACAATACCACATTATGGCCACTAGGTGGCGATGAGGATCATAGGAAATAAATACATGTTAGTAAGGAGATGCAATGTTACAATTCAAGAGAACGCTGGAGGCAATGAGCATATAAATGTGACCATTGGTACTCCGGGAATAGCAGTCCTTACATTTATATGCTCAGTCTCTTCATGTGCCAATCTGAACATTTTCTGCCAACCAGTGACTGCAGTCACTGTTCGGAGCATTTGCACAGTTGTATAGGCTCCTCTCCTGGACTGAAATGTCTTCCTCTGATTTCACTGCACACTGTGAGCTTTTTATAATGTGCATTAGAAGCTGCAGCAAGTCAGATAGAGATATGAAACCAACCATGTTTCCTGGATGGAGGGTATCCAGTGTCATTAAGCTCTTTCCTCCCAAGCCTGACTTTCCTTGGCCCGCCACTTTCATTCATTGGGTTTTAGTTCATTGAATCATGTAACTATGTTGATGAGGTGGGAAAGGAAGAGCCAATTAAACAGTTCACCTCATAAGAAAGTGCCTCTCTCTCTTCTGTCGGTTCAGATGAGATCAGCTTCTGTGAACGCACTGCACATGGGGGAAAAGGTTGGCGCCCCCTAGTGGTAGAGCTGCTCGTCCTAATGGCTGGTCCATTCCAGTAAGACAATAGAAGTATTTCCAGCAGGATTCTGGAATAGTGAAAATGGTCTGCAGGTGACTTATGACACAAAGAAGTTCATATTCACAGGGCTGAGTGAAATGGTGTCAGTGTATTGAGGAAGTCCATCCTACGGGCTTATTTAATAAGTACGTTTACAAACTTCTAGATTAATCTGGTTATTCGGAGTGAGATACAGTAGAACCTATGAAGATTCAAAAGGGATGCACCCAGGGGCGTAACTAGAAATCACAGGGCCCTCTTACCTGTCCGCCTCCTCTTCCTCCACCATCGGTGATGAGCCCCGCCTCCTCCGCCCGTCGCCAGGCCCGCCCCCTCCCCTGTCGCCATGCCCGCCTCCTCCTCTGATGCCAACCCGGGGTTCACAACCGCCAGTGACAGCCAGCAGCGCGAGATGCCATAGCGACCCAGGCGGCCCGCAGGGCATCAGGAATGTCCTGGCCAGGGCCCCCTGTGCCCCGGGTCCCATAGCGGCCGCCTGGGTCGCTATGGTGATTGTTACGCCACTGGATGCACCGATACCAGTATGGGTATCAGTGCCGATACTGGGCATTTTCACAAGTACTCGTACTTGCGAAAATAACTGATACCGGTGCTTTATTGATTCAGCTGCCTTAGGTCCCTCACTTGCTGGAGACTCCACAGCAGCCTTCTGGGTAACCATGCAGTGCCTGATTACAGCGCTTCTGCCAGCCCACACATCTCCTCCCCTGAAACCCTCCACACATCTACCCCACCCGAGACCCTCCACCTGAGACATCAGGCCGACACCACACAGTATGTAACAAATTCATATACTATTATACTTCATTGCTGTATAATGTATTGCTGAGATTTGTAGTCCTCTATATCCGATAGTATTCTGCATTTCTGTCAAATGTGTTGCTGGGATTTGTAGTCCTCTATAGGTGATGGTATTCTGCATTGCTGTATAATGTATTGCTGGTATTTATAGTCCCTCTACAGCTTGGAGTCAGTGGAAGAACTACCAGGGGCGCAGTGGCTGCAGCTGCCACAAGAACCTGGCGCTCCACTACTGTCCTAAAATCATTAGTCTGTATTGTTTTAGAAAAACTGTCATATGACAGGTATCGCTAATTGGTATCAGCAAGTACTTGAGGAAAAGTATTGGTAGTCGTACTCGATCTGGAAAAAATGGTATTGGTGCGTCCCTTTAATTTAGTATAGAAATACATATTGATTTTTAGTTTGACAATAGATACCCTATAAAGAAGAACTCCAGGTATGCAAAATGTTACCTGCTCGTTTTGCTCTAGAGGCTGAAAAAAAAGAAGAAGATATAGTCACCCGATCCTTCAGCCTCTTCTCTCCTGGGCTCCAGCGGTCCAAGCCCCGTTGGCGTCCTCCTATCTAATGCAAGTGTATGGACTCCATTACACGTGATGTCAGCAGGGCTTTAGATCACCAGAGTCCCGTGGGGGAAAAAAGAGGCTGCAGGGATCGGTCTAACTTTCTCAGTTCGAGCCCTTAGAGAAAAATGAGCATTTCACCCTCACAGTGCGGGGGGAGGGGGAGGGGGGATTAGCACCCACTTCAAGGGATAACATTTTACATTCCTGGAGTTCCTCTTTATGGTGATGCTATTGTGTATTGTAACTGCGTAGCGTGAAATTTCATTGCGTAAAAGGAGAGCTCCCTCTAGTGGACAATGTACAAACCTCAATACGTAATAAAAGAACAAATGTGGAAGATAATTCATATAAAAATATGTTACAATGTAAAAATATGTTATTGATATTATAAATTACATGAAAAGTTACATGAAAACAAATTAAAATATTTCTGCAATACATTTCCTTATGAGATCTATCTCTGGAATCAGAATATACAATCTGGCAGTGCTCCTGCTTATACCAATCACACAATTATCATCACTGGGATTCAGAACGAAAGGAAAATTGATCACGACCAGAAGAACATTTTGTGGAGCAAAAGATGGTGCATGCACGATTGTTTTCAATTGCACCGCACTGGGACAAAGGGCATTGTGCTTCCACGTGTTCCGATGCGGGTGATCGCGCTGCGGGCGGGAGGCGTGTCTGCGGTGCCATTAAAATGAATGGCACCACCACACGGGGAGTCTTTGTTTATGCGATCCAGTGCGTTCAGAGCATAGAAGCATTGCCCTGCACACACTGGATGGTGTGAACGTGCCCTAAGAGAGCAGTAAAAACCATACAGGGGTTCTAATCCTTCTCCACTCTATGCAATGATAGGATAAAGGTTTTGGTTGGACCTGAAGCAGAAATGGCAATCTCTACGATCAGAGAGGTCCCTTCTCAGATTGTATTTTAGATCTTCTCACTAGGCCCGGGACTGCTTTGCATACTTAGTGATGAGGGTGTGACACCCTGAAGCTGGAGATGAGTTGTGTGTGACAGAGGGACACTTTAGTAAAGACCATAAGTAGATCTCTTCTGCAACAAAAAGCCCTCAAGTCCTATACTTACTCCTCAGACTCTTTTTCCTTCTTACTTTTTCCTGCTGTCTGTATCCTCATTAGAAAGATTTAATCTCACTTCCTGTCCTTGAAACAGGAAACGAGAGGAAATCTACCCCTAGGAAGGGAAATTCACTCCTGTAAGAGTGATCATGGGAAAAAGGTGTCTCCACTGAAGGTTTATCACCAATCTTTGTTTCCACGACAACCCAAAATCCAATTGTCACAGGGGAAGAAATTGAGATGAAATCTTCTGAACAGGGGCACACACAGCAAAACAAATTTTACAGGGTGTAAACCCTTCCCTATGCTATCCAAACAAAAACGTTTGGGGGCTGGAGTTAGAGTTACACTTAAAAAATTACCTGGTCCAACTTGCATACAAATTCAACCTAAGAACAAACAGACCCTATCTTGTTCGTAAACTGGGGACTGCCTGTACTTCATTTCAATATTAAATATGAAGTTAATATAGAGTTAGAGTTAATGATGTGGTGTGGCATTGGTTAGACCTATTTTAATAGGAACTCTCAAGCAATCAGAAAATACCAATCCCCATGGGAGGACACAACACGACCGTGGTCAGGAGGATGCGGCCGATACTCATGTAAGGGGCCCGGGCAGCCTCCGGGGCCGCCCGGGACCCTTACATGAGTATCGGCCAGCGGTGAAGGGCAAGAAGGCGACCAGCAGCGCAGGGCCCCAGCATTGCCACTCCAGCGGCTTCAAAACAAGCTGAGGCACCATCAGCGACGCTGCTCGTCTGAAGGCTGACTGGCGGAAATGACGCCACGTTAGCGACGTGACTTTCAATCAGTCAGGCGGCAGAGGAGGCATGGTGTGCAGGTAAGAGGAGCTGGGAGGGAGGGGGATGCAGCCCTGACCAGCCCACCTGAGACCCCTTCAGAGCTCTGCATGGTCACTCTCAGGTGGGTCCTGCGTCCAGCACGTCGTCACCAAGCCCTGCGTCGTGCGTCACTAAGCCCAGAGTCAAGCAGGTCACAGACCCCAGAGTCCAGCGTGTCACTAAGGGCTAGTTCACACCATAAGCAGTGCGTTCGGTCCAATTCTGGCCAGAACGCACTGCCCGCATTGCGGCCAGCTCACTTATTTGCCGGGCTGGAGGGGGCCGTTGAAGTGAATGGCACCGTAGCCACGCCCTCCAGCCCGCAAGGGATCGCAAGGCACATTGTGCATGCAGTGCGTTCGTGTGCGGTGCAATCAAAATACTGCTTGCAGCATTTTTTATTGCACCGCACCCGAGCGCACTGCAGGTACAATGTGCATGCGATCGTATTGCAGCCGGATTGCGTGGCTATGGTGCCGTTCACTTTAATGGCCCGCCACACCCCCTCCAGCCCGGCAAAAAAGTGAGCTGGCCGCAATGCGGGCAGTGCGTTCTGTCCAGAATTGGACCGGAGTGCACTGCTTATGGTGTGAACTAACCCTAAGCCCTGCGTCTACACATGTGTGATTCGTTTCGGAAAAATTAGTTTTCCGGACGAAATTCGTTAGCGGTAGTCTGTGCGCATTTTCGTTTGTGGAGGAATTTTCATTGCAGCAAAGTGATAATAAAAAAAATAAGTTAATCTCACTTTGCTGCAATGAAACGAACATGAAACGGAAATGATCATTCGTACAGACTACCACTAACGAATTTCGTCCGAACCCCGAAAAACGAAATAACGCAAGATCCGAATCAAAACAAGATGAAACGTAACAATTTTTTGCCGGTGCACATGCCTAGTGTCCAGCGCGTCATGAAGCCCTGCGTCCAGCAGGTAATGTGACTGTGGGGGGACATTAGAGGGTAAGCTCCTCTGTACAGAGACTGATGTGACTGTGGGGGGACATTAGAGGGTAAGCCCCTCAGTATAGAGACTGATGTGACTGTGGGGGGACATTAGAGGGTAAGCTCCTCTGTACAGAGACTGATGTGACTGTGGTGGGACATTAGAGGGTAAGCTCCTCTGTACAGAGACTGATGTGACTGTAGGGGATGACGACATTAGAGTGTAAGCCTAAAGCCATGTAAAGGGCCCCAAAATTTCTGAAGGCTGCCACACACACACTCACACACTCCTTTAGTGAAGTATGTGATGCTGGAATTCTACTTCCTGGCACACTCCGTGCTATTGTTCCACATGGCCTCCACGTGGGGGGGGATCAGAACCTCATTCTTCGTTCACAGCTGGAGGTTGAGCGATATTCATGCCACATCTCCTCATAAGGAATCCGCACATCACGGTGTATGACACAACTCAACTCTTTATTTACAACTCTTAAAAGGGTGGGATGCCGTCGCAACACTCTGCAGATGTACACACAGTTCCTAGGAATTCTCTAAAAATAAATACCAAACGACAAAAATAAAAATAAAAAGCAAATATACAGATTTGTAGACCTGCTCTGCAGGTAATAATGGGAACACTATTCCACAGAACTCCTCCTGAAGTGTGAGAAGTGATGCTCTCCAGAGGAGGAAGGAAGGGGCCAGTCTGCAGAGCTGGAATTGGCACTATGTGGGCTGAGGCAGTCAAGGTCCTGCATGTTGGTAATTCACAATCATACAACGAGAGTCTTCCGGGAAGGAGGGCTGGTCACGTTGCGTTTCTTTCTCTTCCTGCTGAGAGGATAACATTGTATAAAGAATCCACCTCCATGAGTACTATTGCTACATCGTATAACTGAGCCTTGTACAGATACATAGAAGCACCAATACATACACTGACCGTCCTATTCAAAATTACAGCACAAACGGCAAAAATCTGAGCACAAAAAATGCATTAGAGATGAACCCCAGCCAGCAGTAAGGGTTAAATACTCATTTACTCTAGGGCAAGGGTAGGCAACCTCAGAACTCCAGCTGTGATGAAACTACAAATCCCATCATCTGCCTCTGGACGTCATGCCTGTGGGTGTCAGTCTTGTAATGTCTTATGGGATTTGTAGTTCCACTACAGCTGGAGTGGCGTGGTTGCCTACCCCTGGTAATGAATAGGCAGAAATGGTTTAACTTATTTCTTGCTCCCTGTTGGATGGCCAGTCCAATGAAGCCGTTCCTCTTTGTTGGTCCTGCGGCTGCATCCTTGCCGACATCCTCACATGTAATATAGGACCAGTGGTCCTGCACAGTACATGAGGACAGAGGGCTACATTCCAGGAATGGAGGAGAGTGCGGCAACACAACCATTTAACCCTTACAATGTGGAGGGGGAAGCCTCAAAATACTAAGGCTACTCACAAAAGGAGCTGAAGGATCCAGGTGTAGCTTCGGCTGATCCGTCAACTCTTTGGCTGCTGTATGGGCTATTCACAATAGCCGTACAGCAGCCAAAAGGTGGCCGAGTGGCGTAGCTGAGCTGAAGTGTCAGCTGAAGCGGGGCGAACGGCATGCCAAATGACAGCTGGGCGGAGCCAGCCGTGACCTCACTGTTGGCTCCGCCCAGTTGTAATGACAGATCAGCATCCCCAAATCACCTGGGGACGCTGAACTGTCGTTAAACAACAAAGGGGCAGGGCCATGACGTCACGGCGAGCACCGCCCAGTTATTAATTGGCCGGGACCTGCTATAAGACTGGCAGGTGCCAGCCAGTTGGGTGGAACCGTCACTGCTAGCTCCGCCCAATAGTTTTTTTCTTTAAAAAAAGTAAAACACACACACACACACACACAATAACAACTGTCACAGCCGGCTCTGCCCAGTTATACATTGGCCAGGACCCGCTAGAAGATTCTAGCAGGTCCTGGCCAATAGGCAACAGTTGGACGGAGCTAGTTGCTACCGCTGCTCCGCCCAAGTGTTCGGTTTTTTAGAAATGTAATATTTAAATAAAAATATTTTTCCAACTTTTTTCACTATTTGCTATTCTGCTCAGTACCACGGAGGTACCGAGCAGAATAGCCAAACAGAATGCCGCTTGGCAGCATTCGGCTATTTACTCACTGCCATTTGGCCCCTATGTGAAGAGGGGCGAACGGCAGCGAGTGAGCTGCTGAAGCATTGGCCGAGTTGAAATCAGCCATTCCCAGGCAGAAGTGAATACCTGAACGGCGCTCACTTCACTTCGGCTCGGTTACTCACTCAACTGCCATCGGTAGCTTTGTGAATAGCCCCATAAAATGATTGACTTTGGATTACAGCTTTCACAATCACCTTGACAATGAAAGTGGTGCTTGCCCATACATGCCTAATAAATATCATTACTATGGCCCCTATGTGGCTGCCTCATTGACCAATAGGGAGGCTAGGCTTTGAAACTGCTAAAAATGCTTAGATCTTGCTGGATCAGGTCAGCCTGGCATTTAGACTAAATGGATATTGAGCACTGCAGCGGGTATGTACAGGCACCTCTAGGCGCTTGCCATTTATGCCCAGTAGCAGTTTAAAGCGACAGTCATTACCATCTTGCTGCATTTTCAAGTCAAGAAAGAAAATACAGCACATCATACCCTACACTATTGATTGGTGCACTGTTTGACCTTTTTTAAAAGGGACAGTCTTTGCCATTTTGCTGCATTTTTGACAGTCTTTGCCAATGCTTCATGCAAGAGCTGTGCTTCTATTCTGCAGTACAAGGCATTTCAACCCCTTGCACCAGCATGAATTTTAAGGCCTCATTCACCCAGCAGCAGAGGGCCATACAGCGTTCAATGGCTGCAGTTATTGCACTCGAAGTCACAAGCAGTTGTGTACTGCCGCAGGTAGCGGCCAGTACAAAACAAGGACTGGCTGACAGACGCTGCAGCTGTACACACAGAGCATCAATATACATACAGGGAGTGGCCCGGACACAAACATTTTGCATCCTCAGCTGTAAGCAAACACCTGCGACTCCCGGGCGCTCCTTTGTATGCTGTATGGCCCTCTCCACCCATGTGACTTGGGCCTGAACTATGCCCTACAGTAAGGGGTTAAAATACCCTGTACTGCAGCACTCTGGAGAGTTGAAGTGTAGCTCTCTCCCACCAAGCAGCGGCGAGGCTCTCCTGTGGTCCAATGCGTTCCCTCCAAACAGTGCGCCATCAACAGCACTGGCGATGAGCCTTAACAGTAAACAAAGAACAGATTTATTTTTGTTATATGCAGCCTGGCTATGTTACACTAGTACATACTGAGGGTTCAATTGGGCTTTGAGGGCTCATGCACACGGTCTGCGTCCAAGTGTGGGAATCCGGACTTGCAGAGATGTGAAGGTTCTGGTCAGCATGTAGCTGTGATCTCCCATAAGGAGGTACAGGCAGCTGCATGCAACCACACGTGGCAGGTCTCTGCAAGGGCATTCACGTCATACGGATGTGCACGCCCGTGTGAATGAGCCCACAGTCTATCACATTGGTAGGCAAGTTGGTCGGTCAGCGGCAGCCCCGTACTCCATACATACTCACCTATTTGGTGGTGACACCATGCATTTCCATAGGATTGTGTACAGGCAGAGCAGGAACATGATGAAAATGCCAGCAGCTATCAGACCTGTAAAGATCAAGAGATGAAATGAGGCAGCAAAACATGAGAGCAATACAGAATGCCAGTCACAGATAAAGTTAGTTAAAGTAGGGGGGGAAAAAAAGTCAATTCTAAGTTGAATCCATTCAGAATTCACTCTGCTGATGTCAGACCAGTACACAATGAAAAGGGATCAGGCCCTATGGGTCATTGCACTCATTATTGGATACAACAGATTCAAAGAATCAGTTAATTTGAGTGTATGGGTTTGTTTTCTGATTAAATGCTAAAACAAAACCACCCACAAAAAAAAAAAAATCATCCAGGTTTAAATCCCACATTTCAGGCAAAATATGACCCCCTTTCCTAACCCATCCTGCGACCGTTTTTTTGGGGTTTTTACCTGTTGAAGCAAGATATATTCACCCCTGTCCAGGTCCATCGCCGATGCCATTTCCCAATATGGGGGACCACTAATCCAGCGTCGCAGATGCACCTAAGACCACCGGTTTCCTACCATGCCTGCTTCTGGACAGCCAATAGGACATTCAAAGAAGGACCCCACTGGATGTAACAAAAAGAAGTGCAAAGACTCCGTACAGGAGGATCATGTGA